CATCCGTGGAAGGGAGTATAGGGTTTGTTTCTTGTTTTATATATCGTAGCTTGCCCTGCCAGTTTTACCCTCTTTGTTTAGGGTATGGTTTTGTCTGCAGAATTGTTTAATCTCTGCTTACCTGGGTGTTGGCCTCTGGCAGACATGCCTGGAGTGCTTGTTGTTCTCTGCACTTCATTGTATGCTTGCAACAGTGGTGAATTTCCAAATTTTTCCCTACCGGTGTGCGCGCATGTGCCTAATGCACGCTTTTTATACTGACCTCTGTCAAGGCTGGATAGCTGCCTGGAGTATTTTTTTTAAGCTCAGCTGAGGTTTGGCAATAGCGCGGATCAGCTAAGCTTCATGTGCGGGTGTGTGCAGCACGAATGTGGAGCTCTGTCAAACCCGGTGAATGGCCTGGAGTGTTTTTAAGCTCAGCTGAGGCACAGCGATCCAATCTGCTGCATGAATCAACTGTGCTAAAAAAAAAAAAAAACCAAAGAAATATACGAGAGGTAACGGTGGGGGTGGGGGCAGGGTCAGCAAGAGATGGTATTTTGCCAGTCAAAATTTTTGCTATCCGTATGCCAGAACTGGGCCGAACTGGCTGAATACCACATCTGCTTGCAAACCTTTCATTGCCTGACTAGGTAACGTCATCAGTACAAGAGAGTGTGGGGTTTGCTCCGTGTTTTATATACAGTAGCTTGCCCTGGCATCTGGTTTTGTGCTCGGTTATTTCTTGATCAGGTGTTTCCTACTTCACCGTTTGTCTGGTGTTAATCCCTGCTTATCCGGGTGTTGGCTGCTGGAAAGGGCCTTTTTTGTTTCCTTCTTAGCTTTGTTATTGCCCCTTTTGAGCGGTGTGTAAACATGCTTCATCTCTACGTGCCTGTTGATGGCTTCATGGATGATAGGCAGAAGATTAGTGGTGCAGAAGTACAAATACCAACGACGTCTCTTTAATATCACAACAAATGCCAGACTCGTAGTTTTAACTGGGAAACTGGGAACATCTTAGAGATGAAGCCCAAATCTCAGAACACCAGGGCGTTCAAATACCAGCCAAAAATAAACACTGCTCTTACTCACTCGAGATTCACCGCGTCTTTATAGCATCACTCAGCTGTCTTTAGGGTGACCAAAAGCCTGTTGTTACTACCATGATACTACCAGTTCGTGGTTGACTGTCTCAAGAAGACCACATAGATTAGCGGGAGGAAATGACTCAAGCAATGGGGAAATGTTTCTTGGGGCGCCCTAGGCCAGGAGTAGCGAACTGATGCCCCTGTAGAGGTTTCTCGTTCTCCAGTTCCATCGTGTCTTTTCCACCCTGGTTGCCCCTGCTTGAATTGATGGTCCAGGAACATCTGGAAGAGGTCCAAAGTCTTGTGTCCCTGCCACAGTCAGAAAGTGTGCTGTAGCTGTCCCCCCTTAAAAAAGCTACTGCAGTTCTAGGAGATAGTAGTGCTACCTCCGTGTAGAATACCGCGTCCAGTTCTGGTCACCATAAATCAGAACAGACGTTGAGACCGGTGATGGGATTCAGATATTTTTACCACCGGTTCAGTGACCGTGGCTTGGAGGGCATGCTTTGTATGCGGGCACACACTTTTTTCATGGGTGCGCGCACCAAACGTGCCCTTTGCACAGGCACAGAGGCATTTGTGCAGGCGCAGAAGCGTTCTAACTCACCTCTTGCAAGCCTGCACGATCCCGGTCGCTTCAGCAGCTGCCGCGCGGCACTATTCTGTGCCACGCAAAGCAGCTGTGCTACAAATTCAGCGGATAAAGGTGATATGGAAGCCCGGTGCGGGTGGGTAGGCCCAACAGCAGAGCGGTGGAGAGAACGGGGTCAGCCTCCTCTCTGCTCATCTTTGCTAGCGGCTCGGCAGAACCGGGCCGAACCGGTAGAATACCACCACCGGTTGAGACCCTAGAAAAGAGGCGCAGAAAAGAGCAACCAAGAAGAACCAAGGTCCTGGAAGTAGACCCATATGATGGTTGAGGGAACTTGGCGTGTCTCGTATAACGAAGAGAAGGATTAGGAGTGACATGAGAGCAGTCTTCCAATATCGGAGGGCGGCTGCCCCAAAGAACAATGGGTCGATCCGTTCTCCAAAGCACCTGAAGGCACATCGAGAAGCAACAGATGGAAACTCATCAAGGAGAGAGGCAACCTGGAATTCAGGAGAAACTTCCTGACAGTGAGGAACAATCAATCATTGGCAAGACTTAGTCTCCAGAAGTTGTAAATACTCCAACGCTGGAAGTTTTCAAGAAGAGACTGGACAGCCATTTCCCTGGAGCGGGATAGGGTTTCTTGCTTGAGCAGGAGGTTGGACTAGAAGACCTCTAAGGACCTTTCCAACCCTCTTATTCTATGTTCTAATCTTGTATCTAATAGTCGGAGCACAAGATGAGCATCGAGGCATCTGAACCTTAGACTGACACCTGGCTTCCGTTGCTTTCTTCCTCAAGACCCATTAGACCATTAATAGAAGAAGTCCACACATTGAAATGATGCATGGCCACAATATTCTACTCTTCCTTCTTCAGTGAGGGGTGGAGTCACTGAGATGATACACAACCTTAATATGTGGTTACGGTCCCTTATCCCCGTGTTTCTTCACCCTTGCCCTGTAGGCTTGGAAAAGGCACATTAATACGTCCCCTTAAAGGATGCTTTCTCCTTTCACTTGGTTATTGAGATGGGAAAAGAGGATATAGCCTTCTCTCCTCTAAAACTTAGAAACTCATTTAAGACCCAGTTGGGTCTAGTCTAGTGGTTAAAGCACCAGGGTAGAAAATAGGAGACTTTGAGTTCAAGTCCTCTCTTAGGCATAGAAGCTGGCTGGGTGATTCTGAACTAATCACCGGGAGACAGTGAGTTCTAGTCCCGCCTTAAGTATAGTCAGCTGTGTGACTTTGGGCCAATCATCAGGAAACTGGGAGTTCT